CATGAAGTACATGACTTAAATTGAAAGTATGTGAAGGTGTGGGAATAGTAGATTGACCTGTGTGGGAGATAGGTAACCCCTGACCATTACCAATTGTGACCAAATTCTTACCAACATATTATGTAGGAAATGATAAATTGTCAAAGTCTGAAGTAAGATGATTTATTGCTCCAAAATCTGTGAGCCAGACATTTGGATTGGAGCTAGAAAAATCAGAAGAAGCTGCCATAGCAGTAAGATTTGGAGATGAACGACTCCTTTGATAAGCAAAGTTTATGCGATGGTAAAAGTCTGGAGAGACATGACCTGCTTTATTGCAGATCTGACAGATAGGTCTAGACTGATTTCTGGAGGAGTTTGACTGAATGTAATTGTCTGTACTGTGTTTGTCAAAATTGCCATATGAATTATTGAATTGAGAATAAAAACCATAGTTTTGATTGTTTGATCTGTAGCGACCACCACCATGATTGTTAGACCAACGACCTCTGCATTTTCCTTGATTATTTGAATGTCTGCCTCTATTTGATGAGAAGTTGTTATTTGCTGAGAAATTGTTGTGTTTCTGCTTTGTAGCTGCCATAGCTGAGGGAATTAGTGTAGTTTGATGCATAGCTTCAATAGAATTTTCTTCTACTCTCAGAAGAACATGGAGATCTTAAAGACAAAGAAGTTGTTCACGTGTTCTAATAGAAGTACAAAACGCATTGTATTCAGTAGACAATCCATTAAGAGTATAGATTAGCATGTTTTCATCTTCAACAAACATAGAGACGGCTGCAAGTTTGTCACAAAACTCTTTGAGCTTTTGCACATAAACATCTATAGAATTTGAGCCTTTTTTTACTGTTTGCAGACATGATTTGAGCTAAAGAATATTGGCTCTAGTAAGAGAAGAGAATCTTCTTTCTAGTGCCATCCAGATATCATGAGAAGTTGCATAGCCAATTACATGTGCAAGAGCAGAAGGTGAAAGTGTTGCATTGAGCAATGTAATGAGGATCTGATCTTGAGTCAGCCACGCCTGATACAGAGGATTTAGATCTGTGGTTAAAACACCTTAAGCATTGCGAAGAAATTGTTCTGGACAGGGAATTGATCCATCCACATAACCTAGGAGAGAATGTGCTCTTCGAATTGCAGAAACTTGATATTTCCATGGCACAAAATTTGTGGAATCCAAACAAATCGAAACCAAATTACAAATGTTTGATAGAAGAAAAACTGGAGACTGTGACATTGATGTACTCAACGAAGCTGTTGAGCTAAGATTCGAAGAAGTTTATGGAGCAGTAGAAGAAGAATCAGTCATTAAGATGTTAATCTCTTGTTAATAGCTCTAATATCATGATAGAATCAAGGAAGAGTCAGGAAAACTCAAAGAAGAAGAAGACAGAAAACAGAATTAGGCAGAAACATATTTTTCCATTCTTATTTATTTGCAAAGATTACAAGCGTATATATAAGCAAAGCTATTCCTCACCATACAACAGTGTAGCTGAGTTCTAGCTCAGCATTTCTTTAACAGACTTAACAACCTAACAGAATTACTAACTTCATTTCGAACCTCTATAACCTTGCCATGTGTTATTAATGAATTAGTCGCAGAGAGATAATGTGAAAAACCCGAGTAAACGGCAAATCGAACTTTGTTCACTCGTGCAATTTTTTAAGGTTACACTCGTGTGATATGCCCTTTGCGGCAAATCGAACTTTGTTCACTCGTGCAATTTTTTAAGGTTACACTCGTGTGATATGCCCTTTGTGTCTGTGTAAAATATATATCCTCAAAGCACTTGTGAAATATATCAATGGGCCTTTGGTCCAAAAGTACTCTTTATCTTGTAAATGTTTCGTATTTTCGAGGTCAATGGTTCAAATCCCCTTTCCCTCCAAAAAAAATATGCACTTGACATTGCTCATTGAAACCTAATTGATGTCTAGCAGCACAACCTTTATGCAAACAATGGGAAACATCACTACCATTGAGAGACAATGGTTGTATTTGTCAAAACTAAAAGTTGAAATCTGAAGTCTGAAAACTGGAATTTTAATGTTAAATGTGTGGATTATTTGGTATTCACAGAAATTTAAGTACTGAATTAAACCAAACTGTTTGATAACTGCATTGAGCTGACATCTGAAAATAAATTAATTTTCAGTTTTACCCTTTCACTCTTTAATTTAAAAATATTTATAAAATATGATTTTATCTAATAAAAAATGATCATATATCAAATCAGTTTAATTCATAACATAAATCATAATTACTATTATCATATTGTAGTCTACATTTAACAAACATGATAATAAAATTAATTTAAGTTAAATTAATCATTTATAGCTACTAATTGTCATAAATTTTGAAAATTACAAGTTTACAACTAGAATACAAATGAAGAGTTTAATTGTTGTGTAATTTGTTCACGCAAATTGAGCATAAAAATTTGTTCAGCTTGTGTCCTTCATCCTCCAGCTTCCAAGCTAGTTGAAGTATGCACATTTTGATGGGGATTGTCGTAACCAGCATTAACATCACTAAACTGGTCCAAAAAAACATTTGTGATACGGGTTCGTCGGATAAAATTATGTAAACTTATACAAGCAATTACAATATTCCTTTGTACAGCAAAAGAATATGATGGCATCTTTTTTAGTATCGAAAAATGAGCTTTCAATACTCCAAAAATACTTTAAATCTCATTTTTTAATTTAGCACTTGGTTGAATAACACTTCTTTTGATCTTGGATATTCCCACTAATTCTTCAATTGTTTCTGGGAAAAGTCAACATTCTTCCACTCCTTTAAAGCTACCCTCGTGTAATCCCAAGATTCTTTTTTTAAGCTACCTCCATTTCTTTCTTTATAGATGATTCTTGCAGACACAAATCTATAAAGATTTCAAGCATGTCTGGATCTTTCCAATTTGCTCTATCACCATCACTAGAATTCATCCCTACATAACCATTTTTTAACAGAATATCAGACTATATAGTGTTATTTAACATTGTCAAATTATTATTGTGACCCACTAAGATAAAAAAGAAATTGATGATTACAAGAATCAAAGAACACAAGGCAATTAACAAAAAAAAAAAAAAAAAACAAGAGATGTAAGGTTTATTTTTCACACACCAAGACACATCAATACTTATCAAATAAAACATATATAGACCCTCAATTCACACTGTATTGTCAAAATTTTGGATACAAGTATTTTCGTTGAAGCAACAAATCAAACTGGCAACAGACAAACAAAACCTTGAAATTCTTCAGATTCCTTCGGATTCACCAAACCCAAGGATTCCTTCGGATCAATTTTACATTAAAAAAAAAAACCTTGAAATTCACTCACTCGATAGTTCACTTACTCGAGAGAGAAATCACCAAGGATTGCTTCGAATTCACTCACTCGATAGTTCTTTTTTATTGAACAGACTCACTCGATAAATCAATACCCATAAATCAATTTAACATAAAAAAAACTTGAAATTCACTCACTCGAGATAGAAATCACCAAGGATTCCTTCGGATTCACTCACTCGATTGTTCTTTATTATTGAACAGACTCACTCGATAATTCAACAACCCATAAATCAATTTAACATAAAAAAAAAAAAAAAAAACCTTGAAATTCTTGGCATCTATAAACACACTCAATAACAAAAATCATAATCTATGACCATTAACTTGAAATCCTTCGTTCACGTGTGTCTGAGTGTATATATAGATGACAAGAATTTCAAGATTTTTTTATTTTTTTTGTTTGTTAAGTTTATTATGGGTTACTGACCGGACTGTAGATCGAGGAATGTAGCCAGCGAGATACTCAAGGGAGAAAGAAGAAGAGCAATGCTATGACAGATCGAGTGGAGGAAGAAGATAAGAAGAACATACCTGTAGTTTGGAAGGCGATGGCAAACCCAACGAAGAAGAAGTGATCAGCTTGTGGAGAAGAGGCAGAGGGGGGAATGTGTTGGGGCAAATAAAATTTTATTAAAAAACCTAATTGCTAAGCGTTTTCGGTCCTTAAAATTTTGCTTTGAATTTATGTAGCACTTATTTTATTAAGGAGTTATAATATTTGATTATCAAACGAACTTAATTCATTAAGTGCCGAAAGTATTCAATTTTAAAACTTAAGTTAAATTATCAAACACACCCTATCCAAAGATATGAATATTGAAAATTGTATAACAATTTGGTGCATCTACAATATGTATACCTAGCCTATATGGGTATTTCAACCAAAAAAAAATTTTTGGTATTAGGCTGCTTCATGGAAAGCTTTATTATTTTTTTTTTATCGTGGTTAAAATATATGTGAGTAGTTAAAAGATTTACTATGATTATAAAGTTAGATGTAAATAGGCGAATTGTAGTTAAAACATTAAAGTAAGTTATAAGATAAGTTGTCGAATCTAAGGGCGTATCGTCAATCTCTTGAGATTACCTCGCCAGTGAGTTTCAAGGAATCATCCCGCTATTATCTCGCCAGTGATTCTAGTTTTGCTGTGAGTTCTAGCATGATCTTTTAGGCATTATATGCAATTGAAGGATTTAGGTTCATATAGACGGGAAAAGTTTTAAGCTGATTGTCAGTTACCTAGCATAACTCTCATCTTTTATCCGATCTGACATTGTAACAATGTGCTTCTTTTTCTACTATTGGATCTGATTAGGATAATAGTCGAAAGTGCATGACCAAGTACCTCCTTCAGTCTTTCTTGGATTGCAAGATCTATGATTTGGAGGAAAGTTCGATTACATACTACTCTTAGATCAAGCTGTGGCAAGCAAATAAATAATAGAATTACTTTCATTTACAAATATTACAGTGATTACACCCTTCATCATAAATTGATGAAGGTCATACAATACTTTCATGCTTGAATTTTCATGTACAATAACATACTCATCTTAACTTCTTTTCACTCTGATTAGAAATAATCCAAGCTTTACATATAACCTCTGGAAAACATTGTTTTAGTCGAATCTACTACATGTATCGTATTCCAGGGAGGCCTAGGATATCCTGAAAGAGAATTTTTGCAATATGGCGGTAGGCCTCCTGTGTCAAATGGACTCCATCCCAACTTATATATTGAACCGGGTTACTGCAAACAGGCACACCACGAGACCCACATTTTCTGTTCTCATCGTAGTTATATAGCCCTCCAATTCCACAACATGATCTTAACAACGATTTTTCTTCGAACCCTACATAAACATGCATTAAAATTTCATAATTCATCATTTAAGCTCACAAAACAAGTTATATGAACAAGGTGTTTTTTACCTTTTTTACGAACTACTCACCGAAATTAGCTGCATAACGTAGAATTGTTTGGTACGCTGCATAGTAGTCAGCGTAAATTATATCAACATGAGGAAATTCAAGCCTGAGCAAGGCCAAAGACTCCTGAAGATAATTGTTATGAACCAATGCTAGCTCATTTAATTCCTTTAAGCATCCCATATCGTCATAAGTTGTTGCATCACCAGCAAAGACTAATGTCAGGCCGGCTGGTAAGCATCCCATTGGAAGATTTCCGGGAACTACGATATTCACAGCACCAAGGTGTGTCACTTCCTGCACAACATGATAACGACACCAAGGTAAATTATGGTACATAATAACTACATTACATGGATTTCTGGAATTTTTTATGTGCATTTGGGGTAAGGCTTTGTACATCTCACTCTTCTGAAACTTCGTAGTGGACAGAGTCTCATGTATTGCGCTGCCTAATAACTACTTTAGGCAAAGGTTAGAAATAACTAAACTGTGATAATAATTATATTGAAACTTACTTTAACAGCATTAGTAATGGCCTCTATGATAAATGGCAGATAAGTGTAAATCTCTTGAATGGATTTGCCTTGTATGAGAGGATAGTAAACATCATTGCCTCCGATCTCGCCCACGAAGACGAGAGCCTTGCTAAGGAGCTTCTCACATTCTGAACCAAAAGATGAAAAAAGTTCAGGCAATTTGAGTTATAGGATTTTCCATGGTATCAAAAGTAACTTCTCGATGCTGTATGGAAAGTCACATTCCAATGGGGTTTAACTACAACTCCAACACGACAAATTACGACTCAGTGAGATTGAGTTAAGATCAATCTAAAGAACTTGAATCGTTATTGTAGACTTTTCCATGGTGTTATATCTAACCATGTTGGGTAGATGCTGAGAATGTTAGGACAAATAGTGACAAACCTAGAATCAATGATAAAAAAGACCATTATTTTTTAAATTTTCTTCCACAATATCATCTTTTTCAACTTATTCCCGAAATTATCAGAATTTTTATGACACGTTTTTCAGTGTAAAAGCGTAAATAACCCTTATATATATATATGTATATTGAAAGCATGTTTTGTAGTAATACACATTGAAAAGTACAGATGCAAATATAAGTCACAGTATTTTATTTCGGTAAGTACTTTAAGTTTTGAAAGAACCGTGGAATAGCAACAAACCTGTTGGTGCTTGGCAGATGGTGTTGAGGTGGGATTTAAACCAATTAAGCTGATCACCCAAGGAAATATTAGTGGTTGGATTATAAACGCCATTTGTGGTGAAGAAAGTATAGTCCAATGCTGTACTTCCGGCTACTGCAAAGTTGGCGCCATGATCGAATGTTGCATTGCTTTCTAGATAAGGATTAAGCAGTGGGAGAGAAAGAGCTATGGCTGTGCATCATCGGCCACATAAATAAGTTTAGCCATGTTTATTGTTCTGTCAAAACACATACAAACAAACACACATCGACAGACACACAAACAGAGGCGGACGGAGCCAAGATTCTATGGTGGGGAGCCAAATAATGTCACAATTTGAAAGTTATTTAATGAGGTCATTCAAAAAGTCATCGTTAATTTCAAATTTTTTAGTTATATAGAACTTATCAAAATCAACCTCCTAAAAAGTAGTTTGAATATTAAATTCAAATATTGATTTTTACTTTCAATAGTTAAATTTAATTTGTGATAATTTTGCAACCCTCTATTCTCTCATTCGTTGCATGATGTAATAACTACAAATAATTACTATCAGAACTTTTTATCACATGATAGAAGTTAATAATAAGTCAGTATATAATTGAAGATGCAATTAGGGATAGATCAGAATTTTATCCCGAGGGAGGCCCGAATAACGGCATAGTCAAAAAAAATTATTCAATAGAGTCATTTGATGAGCAATAGTTATTGTCAAATTTTTTGTTTTATAGAATCTATAAAAATAACTTTCACGAATTATAGTATAAGTTAATTTTCAAAAAATCAAAAAATAAATTGAACTTTGTCAAATCAATTGCATGCAAGACGATTTTAGATTCATTGATAAAAAAAAAATGTCAGTTTAATTTCATAATATAAAAACTTGATACAACTAAATTTTACTAAGCCGATACAACGCTTGAAAATCTAAATAAAATGAGATATAGTGTGTGCATATCTCTTAATTAAATACATATAGGACATACAACATTGGACACTAAATACCTTTCGAAAAAAACATTGGGCACCATTTATCCTCTTAAATTATTATCCTGATTGGATCTTATCCCTACGATTATTAAATTGAAGTCGTTGTACCATTAATAATTCAAATTGCTAAATTTTTGCACAAATTGTTAAATTTTAATTTTGCTCAAATTTTATAGTTTACGAGACTGTTTTCGATACTTAGTGGTACAATATGTTTAAATGAATAGTTGAGGGGTAAAGCAAAATCAAGATTGCCATTTATGGATATAAAATATAATTTTGATAAATTGAGGTGTCGCCATGTGAAATAGAACATTGTTTTTGGATTGAAGTATAATTTTAAATTGAAAGAGCCAATTAGAGGTCTAAAAAAAGGGTTAGAGCAAGCATTCGGTAGGCGCTTTATGCTATCATAGGCGGGTGCAATCAGTCAATACGTTAAACGATTTTCTTTTGAAATATATCCCCCTTGATGCGCGAGGGGCTCTCGAAAAGAAGGGGCAAAGCAAAAGCAAGAGGAGGTCGTAGATACTATACCTGGAAGAAGTCTCTCTCGTAGGGCATTTATCTGTAGTAACAAGCCTGTGAAAGCAATATCTTCTAGGCTTATAAAGAGCTTTCAAACCCGCCTAGGTGGAACTGGTAGGTAGCTGGCAGCAATTTCTCCCTTCTTCGCTACGGCCCCCTATAGGATAATTGTTGGAGGGTTCCCGGCCCTCGGTAAACCAAGTGAGCTTTCCTGGTTTTTCGTCTGCTTCTAACCCTACAGGTGTTCTAACTTGAGTTTGGTATATTTAGTGTTTCGTTTAGTTCGAAGCATTCCTGGTGAGCTTGAGATGTCGATATTGGTTGGGCATTATAGCGATCAGAGTGGGGAGAATAGGCCGAATATTAGGTACGCGGAAGGGGACCTTGCTAGTGAAAAGAAGGGCAAGCAAGGGAAGTGCGAGCTAACTAATGGCAAGGGGCGGAGATAGAGAGTGATTCAGGGAATTGAATTCATTAAGGAAGCAAACAAGCATCGATCTATTGTTGGATGGGATTCGCCCTATCCACCAAGCGTTAACTGCTACACGAGAGTACAGCTAACCTAAGCGGGAAGAGCATATTGAATTAACAGACGGAAATCAAACTATTCCATTTGAAAAAGAAGGGATATGCACAGGAATGCTAGACTTAACTCATTTTGCCTCCCGTTTTGTTTTCTTCACTTGAGGAGAGTCCCTAGCGTACTAGACTTTGAAAAAGGGAATGTTACCGATACTTGAAAGACTCATCCTCTGGCAAAAGCTTGACTTTCTTACTTCAATCGCCTATTATACCGTATTGCCTGTGCCAGTTTGCGCCTGCCACTCGTACTGAACTAGCCAAAGAAGCAAGAGAAACTGAAAACGATTTACTTCTTGCCTTAGCTTCTATAAAAGTAAACAACTAAGCCTTTACTCTGGAATTCCACTTTAGAAAAGTCAAATAAAATGATTCGTAAAGAAGTTCATTTAGTATGAGAAGTAGGTTTATCCATTGAAGTTGAAGTCGTTAATTTCAGTAGTTGAAGTACTTCTTGAAGTTGAAGTACTTAGTTTACCGATTGAAGTTAAGGTAGGAAGTTTATCGCTCTCCCCCCATGACTCTAGTCTGTCGGAAACTGTATCGGTATCAACTGCAACTGTCATAATTGGTCGAGCTGGCATCGGTCGATAGGTAGGCGCAATCACTTGCTTGTTTGATAGCGATGCCTTGAATTCAATAGTGTAATCCCCGGCCATCTCTCCCTTGCAATTGGGAATCGGGTAAGGCGAATCGATCTTCTAGGCGGATATACCATAGGGAAATAAACGTACAATAGGATAGGAATGGTAGCGAAAGTGAATGAGGAAAGCTGGCATGACTGTCTGCAAGATCTTTCTAGGCTTAAGCATAAGCGGTAAGAAGCAAAAAAAAGCAGTAGCAGTACGCTAATAAAATAAGCCAGTTGTTGAAGTATGAGTGAAGTTCCTGTTCTGTATCGGGAAACTCTAGCAATCGGGAGTAAGAGGGAATAAGGAATCTCTTTGATGGTAAGAGTAGCAAGTACAGGGGGGAAGGTGGAAAGGGGGTTATGGATTAAATGAAAGACATATAGTGCGATTACTGTATAGGTTAGAGTATCCCCCTGGAAGAGCTCAGCTAGTCTACTAACTTATTTGATTAGCGTAGAGTAAAGAACTATATAAGACTATTCCCCAATAGAGTACCCTATTCTTATCTTATCTTATCTTATGAGAAAGCATTTCGAAATCGGTACACATACGAATAGCGGTTTAGAATGAATTGTTTTTCTCGCTTTAATCGGGAAACTGTAACGGATCTGTACTGTGAAAGATCTGTCTGATAGTCAACCTGGAGTTTCGTCGATCTATTGGCACTTATCTGTAGAAAGAAAGCTTGTTAAAGAGAGAAGATAAGGAAGGAATAGATAGCTCTAACAAGTCTCGATAAGAAAGCTTAATCAAGCCTTCCGCGATATCTGTAGTTCATTTCAGTTTCAGTAGTTGAAGTATTCAATGTGATATCTGTAGTTTAGCGAGTTCTGTATTTCAGTATTAGGTAAGCGAGTTCTGTAGTCAACTGTATCAGTAGTGAATCGATTGAAGTATTGAAGTAGTATTATTGCCCTTGTTAGCAGCGAATCTGGAATCGGAACTATTTAAAGGAATTAAAGATGCAATCGGTCATCGGTCGTGTCTCGTACTGTATCGGTCTCAACTGTCTCAATCGCTAGCTTTTCTATACTTGTCTTCACCTTTGGACATCAAGAAAGCCGAAAAGACTGACCAGATGTGAACTCTTGGGGCTTTGTTGCTTTGTAAGGGCTTTCAGAGGGCTTGACCTCTGATGTATGGAAGTACGTGGTTGAAGTGAATTTCTCGGATGATTGCTTCTATTTATAGAGTAAGGGGGCAAAGAGAATACGAGAACTCATCAGAAAATTGCGTTAGAGAAGATAGAGCTAAAGCTTCCTTCTTCTTGAGCCTGCTAGCCTGTTGTGCCACTTTGGTCATCGGCTCCTATCACGGTTTTAGAATGGATTCTCTCGGGCTTACAGACATGATAGAATGTTTCATTCCACGAGTGCCCGTTTAAGCTATTCCATACGCTGTCTTTGGCAAAGCCCAGTTATTTGAGAATCGATCAAGCTCGGATCGGAAAGGGGTTCAAAGAGCTTCTGGGCAACCAAAAAAGAGGTTAGTAATACGCTTTCGAAGGTACTAATCCGCTAGACCAAGACTGAGAAAAAGAACTCCTCTTCTTCTGCTGCAGCTGCTGGAAAGGAGGGAAGCAAAAGACTAATCCCGATATTCCCCACTAGGGTTGATCGGAAATAGAGCTTCTAGTTCGTCTCTGATTAAATAACATATGAAGTGCAAAAGAGAATTGCATCTTCTTTAGCCCCATGAAATAGAAAAAAAAATGGGTATCATATTCCTGTGCGAAAGCAACTCGATCGACTACCTTGATAGATAGGAGTCAAGCTCTTGCTAGGTTCGATAGAAAGAATGAGTGCAGCAAGGAGGAAAGGAGTGGAGGATGTGATCCCGGTAGGACGCTAAAGACTGACTTGCCCCCACTTTATGGATGTAGCAAGTCTAATCGTCTGGTACTAAACTGGTAGGGATATTGGGTACGAAAGCGAAAAGTGAATCAAAGGGAAGGGTATTTTGACTTGAACCCCTACATTTTAGAAGTGAAAGAAGTCAGGAAGTAAACCTGTGACAGCTGAAAGGAACTCAAACTTTGCATCTACTGAACTATCTTCTGCAGCTGCAGTAAAGGTGGGAACCAGATATCGACTCAAGGGGTTGGGTTGGTTTACAGCTCGGTGTGGAAGAACCCAGGCTTTTGGTCTCCCTTTCTAGCAGCGGTTCCTGATTCAATTGTAAGTGGTACTCTTGATTCAATTCCACCAAACCCGAAAACAGTTCCATAGGAGCTTGCATTCGAGTCCTTTTCTTTATATATGATGTCACTTCTTTCCCCTGCTTTTAGTGAAGTTCCGAGCCTGAGTTCAATCCCAAAACCAAAAGTCCATCCCAGCTGTCAACTACGTGCGGATAAGGGACGAAGAATGCTTAAAATTCCGGTTATTCCTCTCCAAAGAAATCCCCGTATTCGCTTCGCCCCTCAAGTCCCACATCGGCTTGATGCCATCTTCATGAAGGAGAATGCCCCAAAAGCGTCTGCTAAGATTAACTGTACAAAATCGAATGCTGTCAAATTTGCCTTAGTGCAGTTACTCTCAGTGAAGTTCCTAAATAGGAATATTTGGTAAAAAAGCTCTCGATTCAAAAGTCATTTCTCGAGTAAGATGAATGTGTAGCTTCTTCTCAAGCAGTAGCACCGGCAACTAAAACAGTCTTCTATCCAACACCGGTTACTTTTATAAGACAAGAGCTCCTAATGGAACAATTACCTATTCTATCTGATTCACTGCCAATACCCAGAAAATAAGGTATTCAGATTCAATTGCGACAAGAGCACGTTCGAGAGCAGGGGATATTGCAGAAAGACCTTCTACTTCTATTGCATCAACAGCTGATTCAATTGCTATCAGTTCTAAGCCTTAGTCATCTATTCGATCAATGCAGCCTTACGACTGTCGACTATTCTTTAATCCATTATTTGATTTGCCGCCTAGGAAGGAAGAGCTAATCTTTCTACTCTACCAGTTTTATGAAATATCGAGTTACCTGCTAATTCATCTGCACAACGCTTATTCACCATCAGGAAAGACAGGAAATCCAGTAAGAAGGGTCAGGTAAGAGGCAACTAACATGCTAACAGCAGCCCACGTGGCAAAGAGCCTGTTCTATTAGTCCCACAGCTCCTTACAGAACACTTGCTACCGTGGCCTAAATGCTACGCACCTTCTACGAGGATATCCGAGAACGTGTTACTTTTTAAAAGACCGGGATTTGGGGCAAAGGATACCCCTTACAAGCTTCCCCTTCTTTATGTGTAAATGTGTAATTGGCTTCGCTTCGTTGCAGCCTATTCTGTTCTGTTCTGTGATGGAGAGATCGAAAGCATTAGGGTCGTAGCGTGAATGTGAAATTCCCTTCCTTCTCTTACGTTCTATGGGATCCTTCTCTGTGGTAGGTGCTGCTCTAAAAAAAGGGTTGGTAGCATTGGTTCTAGAAAGTTGAGGCGGACTATGGCCCTAGGCCAAAGCTTCACACATGAATGTGAATTATCTGAATTGAGCAAAATCAACATCATAATAATAATTATACAATCAAAATTCGAACGCAACATTTAACTTGATGTTCATGTAGAATTCGATCTTGCATTTGGATTTTAAATGTGTAAAAGTAAAACCAATGATATTATTTTAATAATATCACATCATTTAATCCCGTTTTTCATTCCTTTGTTGGCGGTGTATCATTAGTCATTTCTGGGGGACCATGTAATGCATTTATTCATGTTTTGGACAGAATGTCGTTACTCGTTTCTAGGGGACCATGTAATGCATTGTTGCTGGTGTGGACCCAAGTTGCTGTGCTCGTTTGGTGGTTTGTCCACCGTATACACTCACAAGCTAAGGAATCTTATCTAAGGGTGTCAAATGTGTTGGATAAAATGGTTATATATCGAATTAAGCGGGTGACGGGTGAAAAATATATAAATCGGTACACGATTAAACGGGTAACACGATACGACTCGTTTAACCAGTTTAATTTTAAAAAAATTATATTAACAAATTTTAATACTCCATTTTTTTATTGTCAATTACATTTACTTCAAAAAAGAGTAATATTTAACTAAATCTCTTAAAAATAAGACTTGAAGGTTTAAAAAAAAAAACAAGAGGTCATTATTTTTTATAATCAACTCAACCCTTTCCATCTCCCCTCATTTCCCAATGTCAGAAAAAAAATAAAAGACATTTGTTTGTCTTTGTCTTTAAAGTGTTCCTCATCTCATCTCTTTTATCTTTGAACTACTTCTTTATTTCTTTTTTTAATTGATTTCTTTACTTCTTTTTTTCTTTCTAATTTTTTTAAATGATTATTATATTAATTTTATTTAAACGGATAAACGTGTGATAAACGGTTTGACAGGTCTCACCCGAACACGACCTGTTTGTTAAACGTGTTTGGCGTGTCAACCCATTTATCACCCAAACCTGTTAAGATCTCACTCAAACTCGACTAATTCGTGTCGGTTAATCGTGTTGTGTTAAATTTTGATAGCCCTAATCTTATCATATTAATTATTTTTTTATTTTTTTTTGACATGTAATTGAAAGCTGATTCCAATCAATAATTTTTCTGCGGTCGTAGATATAACTTGATTAAGAGATTATGTAATTATTTGTGCCAGAATTAATCGTGAATTTTGAGTCGTGGCAGAGTTATTGAGAAAAAAATGAAGGGATAAAAGGGAGTAATATATAGGGCCAGTGTTACTTGCACTTAAAAAGTATATTAAAAAATTAAACTTGATAATTAGAAATATTGATACTTATTCAATAGTTAAAATTATCAAGTCATATTTTTAAATCTAATTTTTAAATCCATTTAACATTACTCAATATCAATATATAATGTTTAAAGCAGCTTAATTACCAACGAAGTCTATGATGAGAAGGCCATCAGACCAGCGACCGGTGGCCCAGCCAGGAAAGCTTTCGCCGTAGGGCAGATGGGCGGCAGCTACTGTTTTGCCGGTGGTGGCGCTTTGGCGAATAAGGTTCCCTGTATCCGCCAATGAATCTCCAAACTGGTATATATATTCAAAGGGTTGTATGGTTTCATGGGCTTCACATGGAAGGAGGAGGAGAGAGAAAAGTATGAGTCCAATGCAGAAAATTGCCGAAGCCATGTTTTGCAGTGCAAGTTCCTGCCAGTGAAGGCAAGAAATTCGGAGAGAGAGAGAGAGAGAGCCGAAGATAATTATTTGAAAAATAATTCAAATAATTCTCAGGCTTATAAAGTGAAGCAGACTAACAGTATCACCTAACACAGTCTGCCAAAGTGGACACATGGCGAAGATACTGAAAGCAACTTTTTTAACTGTGTGGCAAATGTAGATTAAAAAACAAATAAAGTAGCGTCTCACAAGGACACCTTTTTTTGGAATTAAACAATACTATAAATAGCTTGCCTACCTAGACGCCTAAACCTCCTTAGAGCCTAATTGCTTATATATCTAATCTAGGTGACTAGGACACTCGTTTCTTAGATATTTAGTCAAGATAAAAAAGAAAAAAAGATAGAATAATTGAATAAAAAAAAAAATAGAGGACAAGTGAAGCGAGGCTTCCATAAAAAAAAAAGAAGTGAGAAGGAGGAGGTGTTGGGGCCACCGTTGTGAACAGTAAGGGACGAAAATAGCATCGACTCTTTTATAGAATAGGGTTAGTGAATTGCCAGCGTGCAAGACACTCTAGTTAGTTAGAGCTAATCTTTGAGGCATAGTGAAATTTTCTTAATAAGAGAAATAGCAACATTTTTTAGTCTGATATGAATGCATTTGGATAAAAAGTTGTAAAATATTAAAAACACTAAATTGTACAATATTATAAAGAGTAGTACTATGTATCCCAAATCAAGAAGGATTATTGGATCAATAGGTTTCATCAATTTTTTTAAATAGGACCCACTGATCCGATGGTCCTCCTTGATTTGAGTTACAAATTTGAAATACATATCATTACTTTATTATAAATACGACCTTTGTGTGTTGTGATTTCTTTTAATGAATATAAAACTCGAGTATCGAGAATATTGTGAGTGTAAATATAGGTAAAAACACTTGAAATGTAGATGCAAACTAATTATTTATACATCAAACAGGCCGAACCCACAATTTATGTCCTTCCCTAGCCTTAAGATCATCATCAGTCATGTTAATGAGAGTGGTCATATTAACTTGTAAAGACAACAATAGGTGATTAAGGCTCAAGGTTTGAACCTCTTTTATAGATGGCAAATATAAAATTAGGCCAAGTACACATAAACACAAAGCAAAGAAAATTATCTAATCTTTCAACTTGCACCAATTATGAACACTGCAAATTATATCATTGGTCCCCACCATTAATTTTTAAAAACTTGAAAGACACAACCCAAGATGTTATCAGGAAAAACCCCGCGGGCGGGGGGGAAGAGATTTCTGCATTTTGCTGAGTCTTCTTCTCAGAATAACACTTTTCCTAAAAGATTTACTACCTTCAAATATTGGCTTTGGCTTTGGCGGATCAATGTTCACTGGCTGCAACTTCGCCATGCAAGAGAGCTTTTCCATATAGATCCCAAAAAAGATCCACTTACACTTTGAGTTGATAGCTGAATGCTTTCATTTCAAATGGTATAGTTTTCAAGAGGAGATTCACTGGTTTTTTAAGTCACGTTTACTTTGGTTTTTTTTTTTTTTTTTTTTTTTCTTGTTTGGGTTTCGCGTTTCTTCCAAGTTGAATGGCATGAGTAATAGGATACATGCACATATATTTATTCTGTATGATGAAATTTGAACATGTTCCTATTTGTATTTTCTTTTTTGCCAAAAAAATAACTAACACTACAAAATGAAAAAACCAACCAAACCATGTCAATCTTCAGTTTATTTATGTCAAGTGACACCTTGTACAACTATTTAACAGGCTAGTGTAATTGTGAGGGGAGAGAGGGGGGGGGGGGGGAGGAAAGTGTGGAAAGGTGAGGGGATTGGAGTAAATATTCAATGCAACCGTGACACCACGTCATCACTATAACATGTTATTACCATCAAATTAGAAGACTATAAATAGGTAAAGTGAACCCCATTATTTTTATAATTACCAGTGACAACCACATCCAATCAGCAATACATAAGATTAGTGAACGATGATATCACATAGCGGTGATAACATAGTGACACCATTGCAATGAATATTTTCCTGTGGGGATTGAGTAAGAAGATAAAAAAGTTTTAAAAAATATGAGTAAACTATTAAGACTTATTTTATCAACCTAAATTATTGATTTAATTCATTATGATTTTTAGATTGACGTAGTTCCTACTAAATATTAGAATTTAGTGTTCATACAATGATCAAAATAAAAAAAAAATCATTAAATTAATTTTTTAAGTCCGAATAACATTACCCAAAAAATAGTAAAACTTTGTCCTTTTCTTTGAGCTGCAATCCATGATGTATAAGGGTCATTCAAGGCCAATTGTGAGGGAGGAGATACAAGCGCCCTATAATTCAAAAGAATATGTGAGTGATTCATATACAATATCTCTTTCTTTTATCAATGATTCAATCAATTGGAGTATTTTCACAAATAATTGAAATTTAATTTTTTGATCCGTATCTTCAATTTTTGAAAACTTATAAAGTTCTTCCGTCAAACCTTGATCAATGAACTTACAAAATCCTTCAAATTGTATCTAATTAAACTCCGGTATTGTAGATATTCCCTCATTTTCATACCGGAGCATTTTAATTTCCCATTTATCGAAAAATCCCATTATTGGAATTTATATTCTGTTCACTAAATCATGTAAAATCTTACCCAATTCCATATATGGAATTGAAGTATGAAATTCGTATCAACGAAGGAATAGGTTGGTCTTGATGTTATTTTCCTGAAGAAGAACATGAATATTTCTTAAATTGAACCTTAAAAGGAAAAAAAAAATTAAAAATGGCACAATCTCTGAAGAGAGAAATTAAAAGAAACCTAGGGCCTGTGTTGGTTTACATTTCAAAAACACAATATCTGAAAACTATTTTTCAATAAAAATTTTTAAATTACAAAACTTGTTTGGTTATATATTTTTGAAAATAGTTTTAAAGAAAAAAAATTTTAAAATTTATTTGGACAATAATCCACAATTACCACATCTCTTCAACTCTTTGTGTCTCTCTCTCTCTCACTATGCATCACCCAACCCCCACAAACCGAAAACCACTATCAACCACCATCAACCCAACACCGACAACCACCACCAAGACCACCACCCAAACCGAGAAACACCCAACACCCACAACCACCACCAACCCACACCGAGAACCACCCAATACCAACTACCACCACCACTACCCAAACCGAGAACCTCCCAACACCCACAACCCACACCAACCCACACCGAGAATTACCCACCACCAAGACCACCATCCAAACCGAGAACCACCCAACACCCACAACCACCATCAACCCACACCGAGAACCACCCAATACCCACAACCACCACCACCACCCAACACCCACAACCACAACCACAACCAAAGGATTTGTGATTCCAATCGTCGGATATGTGCTTCTAGTCACCGAATATATGGGTTGAAGACAAATCCATGGTATCGGCACAAGAGAGAGAAAGAGGGGTCAGGGAAAAAGAATGCACAAAAAAAAAAAACTTTTATATTGGTATAATAAGTGTACAGTAAATAGGATCTTGCGTTTTCCGTGCTTTCACAATTTTCAAATAAAACTCAAAAACAAGTCTGACTTGTTTTTTATTTTTGTGTTTCAAATCTCAAATTTTGCAAAAATTTTGAGAACAAAAACTATTTTGCAGATGATAACCAAACATAACCCTACTTTTTTTTTTTGGTCAAGCATGTAAGGAACTCACACATACAACACACCACACATCAAAGGAAACCTACTTTAGCAGTGACCGATTACTAATAGGGGTAAGTATTCAAATTTTCTCGCTTAATATTCATAATTGAGTTTTTTATAACTATGATAACTTAATGAGAATTAATCCATTTTCATTTCCCAGAGCACTCAATGGCACTTTAGTTTTGGTGTTGAGAGACAATTTTTTGGAATAAATACGTTGAGTGATTTATCTGTACCGAACATTAAAATTACAAATGCAAGCTTACTTTTTCTGTGTGGTCAATATATGTTGAGAGCACTGATGGCGTGTGTGGTCTATCAATTTGAATCACTACTGGCCACAGATAGACAGATTGGACCCTAAAAGGCCAGATTCCAAATAATCTCAATGAATCACCAAGAGAATAAAGTGTTTGCATTCTTGTGGATGATATATAATTTATATTAATACTGATATACTAGTAATCGTTCGTGGTTGAAAGTGTTATGTAATAAATAAAAAAAATTATGATCAATATAAACCCACCTAACACAAAAAGTCATCAATTAAAAATCTGAAAAAAAAAAAAAACATGAAACAATATGAGTCTCACTCATATGTTTTGACAATTTTCTCTGAAAATATGATTCATGAACAATAACATACTGCCTTAGGACAGTGAATAAGTTTCTAGTTCTATGTGACAATCAAAACTTGAAAACAATTTTGATACTTTATATTCAAAATTAAATATTGAACTTAATTCGGATGACATACAAATACGAATATGCACTCCTATAAATTCTTGCTTCATATATCTATCTATACATAAAAATAAAAATAAAAAACACAAATAAACTAGAAGACAAAAGACTTGAGAACTCTTCCCTCCATATTTCTTAATTTTGTAGAATTTTGACATTGATCTCCCACTAAACTTGTTTGTTGTTTTGCATTGCCATTTCCTTTTCCAGCAACCATGTCCATATGCTTGTTTGGCTACTAATTGCAAGGATCTCAGATGTCCTGTTGTTTATCTATCTTGCTTACTACTAAGAGGGTTTAAATGTTGTATCTATTCTTTTTTTTTTGTAGAGCCACAAGGGAGCAGAGAAGTTCAAGGACAAATCTTTCCCTTTTTATGAAGATTTATGTATAATATTTGAAAAGGATCGGTTACTAGAATAGAGGCACATACCCCGACTGATGTGTTGAAGGAATTAAGAATTAGACAAATCTTTCTACTTTTTCAATTTGTTGTCTATTATTGATTTTTATTACTCTTTCAATGAATTTTTTTATTATTTGATTCTTTGTGACTATTTACTGCACATTTCATCATATTTTTCAAATTTTAAAATTAACAGAAATACTCATTGTAATAGAGTATGTTAATTAAGTTAGAAATTCTACAATAAAAAAGTTATTTTGGTTAACTTTCATTTCATTCCAATAAAAATTAATTTATCCAAACATTGGAATGTAATGTACATTTCATTCCAACACTCAATCCCAATTAATTGACAAACATTGGAATAGTAATACACATTTCATTCCATTCCTAAAATTATTTCATTCTTATATCTATTCTATTCCTATTTAATGACATTACTACGTACTAAATTCAGCGTTAGTTCTTTAAATTTTTCATAGAGTTTAAGTTTTTCATATTCAAATGATTGCTTTCTAGTTAGCACATTTAATGATAGGATATTTACCAATCAATTTGACATTATTTACAATGAGAACTTAAAAATTATAAAATATAAAATTTGTAAATTATAATAAAATTATAAATATAATATTTTAGATCTCCCTTAGTAGCACCTATTAAAAAAAAATTGAAATAAAGATCAAATCCTTAATATACTAAGTTTTACGAGGTTATTTTGTGATCTAATGAAGTACTCCACGTCTTTTGGGAGCCATCTAGCATAATGGGAGTGCTTAGCGAAACACACCCCAATCTTAGCATGGGACGCCATTGGACAAGTCACCGGCATGTCTTAGTCATGCCAACATGTTAAGGGGCTAACATTAGGTTTATAGAGTGTATCTGCAATTTATGGAGAATTCAATGGTACCGACTCTGGTATTGTGCTGTCGGTTATTATTTTTTTAATAAAATTATAATTTAAAAAAAAATACAATTTAAAGAGGAAAAATCAATGATCAATCAAGAATCCATGACCGATTACATAGACACATGATTGATCATAAATTTTTCCTGAACAACTGTAGCTTCTTCTTTTTGAGTTATAACTTGATGACTAAAAATTATAACATAACATCCACTAATAAGAAACGTCTTAGAATTCCCCACAATTTATAGTTGGATGTGTTGCAAATAACCATTAAAAAAATCTATTCGATCAATTCAATCACATCAAAATCTGTTGAGACCAAACCTTATGTTTCACGTTGTTCAGTATGTCAGAAAAAGAACCTTATTACAAAGAGGTTCTATTTTTTTAACGAAGAGCAAATTTTATGGCTAAACTAGATATCTATTTTTTTATTTTTCGTTCAATAAAAATGAGACATAGAGATTTTTTATTAATTTTTTTATTTAATTTTATTATTTTTATAATCAATAATTACAAATATATCAAATTAAGGCTTATGTCTGTTAATCAATTTTAGTACGATATAATTTTTTTTTTTTGAATTATTCCTTATTATAATCTTAT